CTGAAAGCCGGAGTGAAAAGGGGCTTGTTAAGAATATGTAGCCTGCTTTCATAATCAGTTTGTAAAAGAATAGGCCCTTGAAAACAAGGGTTTAGGCTTATAGAAGGCTTTCTGTGCCTTGACCTTGCAAATATGCAGAGATGCCAACTTTTTTCTGAAAGTGAACTTGGAATCTCCCAGCGTGGTGCCGTACCAATTGGCAGGCGAGGTCTGCGGGGTAGAGGGTCCAGCCCGGGGTATGTTCCCCCGAGGACACGGATTGCTTTCCTCTCTCCGCAAGGAGCTATTCTGCAGTGGAGCGCAGCCAGGCTGCTGTGATTTTACCTTTTCTTCCTTAAAAATACAGCCCTGCGCCCCGCTGCAGAAGGGGATCACCCACAGCGCAAGCCCAGACCCCGGCTGTCCCGTGGGAACCGGTGGCGTTAGCTCTCTGAAAAGCTCGACTGTGGGACTTGTTGTAAGGCTTCCTCTTATCTGTGGCATATTTGTTCCCAGATCGTGAAGAAGGTTGTAGAAGAAGTCCCTGTAATCATCCCCACTTTACAGATGGGGAAACTGAGGCAGAGAGCTGGGAAAAGTGAAATTTCCCAAGCACGTTGGCTCCTTACCGCTTAACGCTATCAAGGACACCTGAGTCCTTTGTGCCCAAGTGCCGCAGACACCTGTGCGATTTTTCCCGGGTTGACCAGAGAGCCGGTGGCAGAGCGTATCTCGAGACAGCGTCTGGCTTCGCTAGGCTGCTCTGTCTTATTGCTGTCATTTAGATCAATTCAGGCTTGCGTATTGACGGCGAGCTGCAGGTCATCTTCCCCATCTGCAGCATGTCTTTTAGGTGGACATGTGTGACCTATCAGGCAGGGCAGGCTCTGCTTCTAACACCCACGGTATCAGTTTCTCTCCACCCTCCTTCCTTTAGCAACTGTAGAGTGCAACACATTTCGTTTGGATTATTGTCCCTCGGGTTGCATTCACTCCTCTTCCTGCTGTCTCCTCCTGGTGCCCCATTGCCCGTAGCACCCTGTGGTCACCCGAGAGGCAGCTCCCTTGGGTCAGGCTGCTCGGTGTGTCTCTGCGCCTGGTTGCAACGTGGTTCTTTGCAGGAGGGGGAAGCCTTCCAAGAATCCCCACCTATTTCCGTAATAAGGAACCCTTTGTTTTCCTCGCGCACAATGCAGCTTTATTTGATTCTGTTGCTTTTTTACCAACTGCGTTCCAGGCGGCTTGACACGGGAGCTGGGGAGAAGGTGTGAGGTGTGCGCGGATGGATCGCTGGCGAAGGGGGAGAGGAACGTGTCCCGGGATGGTTTTATTTGCGGTTCGGGCGTCGGAGTTAAATCATTGCCTTAGCACGCAGACGTCTCCAGAGACACCGTCCTGGGCGAGCGGAGGTGCCCCCCGTGCTGTGAACAGAGGCGAGGCAGATAGGAAGGTTTACGTGTCCTTGGCCTCGTGTTGTCGAGGGGTCACTCTCAGCCCGGTGAAATTCGTGCCTGTGGGCAGCGCTCTAACGTCCCAGGTGGTAGGACGCGTCCAAGGAACCTGGGGTGGCCGGAGCAGATGGGCAACGCGCTTGGGTAAACGCAGAAGAGTTGGAGGGACACGGAGGGACCAGAGGCTGAGAAATGACGTGGGCATGTCCTGCGGCT